TTAACACTGCTGCTCTGTAACACGAAAGGGTTAATTAGGATGATTACGCGTAATTTCTGGCATTTCTGAGGGAAGACTCTAAGGTCAAATGAAATTGTCAAGTTACTCTTGATGCTACCTAACCTCATCCTCCCCTATGTCATCATAGGAGCAGTAGTTGCCTATGATGACATACTTGTACTTTTTTTTTAAATAAAAATAACTAATAAAAAAATAAAACTGATGAAAACTCCTAAGGATATTATTGTTCTACATGTAAAAAAAGAATGTATCCATTTCACAGCTTTTGTTCTTGCTCTTCAGGATACTAAATAATGAAGCTTCAAAGTTAAGATGCCATCATAGGCGCCTTTTCCCTATCTACAAGTTTAAAAAAGTTAACTTTATAAAACTAAAGTGTAAAAAAAAACGAATTTTTTTTTGTTTAATGAAAGTATTAATGAAAAGGAAGTGAATTTGATAAGTCGCTTTTTGAGTATTCTTTTCTACTACGGTTTGTTAAAACAAACCAATTTCAGTTTGCACCTCAGCTGAGCTTTTATTAATTTGGTACCTTAAAAAAGTGAAAAGTCATATAGAGAGATTTTAAGAACAACATACCGTTCTTTTAGAATGGTTCAAAACTCTCTTAAACTACAAAAATGTTTGGAAACTAGAGGTTGCAAAAGAAAATCAATTTACCGAGAAGATAAATTATTTATTCGTGAATCTAAAAATAATTTGTTTATATTTAGCAACACTATTTTTAAAAATTTATAGATAAAAGTAACTTAGCGTACAATCAGAGGGAGTTTAATTAAAGCAAATATATTTTCAAAATCATCTAGAAATGTGTCTACTTTGAAAAAACGACATATAAAATTGTTTATTTTATTTTTAGTTATAGTCATAAATATTCTGCATGGACAGATAAGAAATGGGACACAGTTTTGCGGACAAAAATATTTAAATTTAATATTTTTCAAATTATAATATTTGTTTTGTTTTTCCACAGGCCTTTAAATAAAGAGTTTGGCCCAAATTACACTTAAAAAGAAAACAATAAAATTTGGTGGTGGAAGCATTAAAGTGTGGGGATGTTTCTCGTCATCTGGTATCGGTCTTTTACATATATATCATTCATAATTTACTTAATAACATACACGATGGCACCTGATATTTATATAATATTTGTGACGAGCTTAAGCTACAACTACTAACTGAACACAAATTGTTTAAAAAATATTTATTTTGTTTAAGTATATTTATGAATAAATATTTATTATTATTTATTTTGCATTTAGTCATAGCTACATCTGCTGCTGTAACATAATCTGAGCAAATATTTATTCATCGAAGTATTAAATGCAAACAAATATACTAATGCGAGACCTCTACTAAAAGAAATTGGAGTGCTAATATCAATGAAATAAATATTTTTATCATACCTTTAATGTTTAATTTGTGCTATTGTATTGTGCTATCGTATCGTGGAATGCGATTGTGCTTTTGTATTTTGGAATGCGATTGTGCTATTGTATTTTGGAATGCGATTGTGCTATTGTATTGTGGAATGCCATTGTCCTATTGTATTGTGGAATGCGATTATACTATTGTGTTTTGGAATGCGATTATTGTACAAGTTATAAAAAAACTACAGCATCAACTCGAGATTTCAAACTTGCACTTAATTGATTTTGATACAAAGCAATCACTATTCTATTATTAAAAACTTTTGTTAATATTAGTTATCTAATGTCTTATACATTGACGCAAAATCTTTATTTATTTTATATGAAAATTACTTTTGAAATATGTATGGCATTATTTTTTTTATTATACTGACGCAAAACGGGGATGCAATATGTAGATACAAGTTTATTTAATCATATATATATATATATATATATATATATATATATATATATATATATATATATATATATATATATATATATATATATATATATATATATATATATATATATATATATATCAGAGGTGGATGCAGCATTTTTTGATGTTTAAAGTAGGAAACGTTCAGACATGGAACTAACTCCGTGTTCTTTTTTTATATATATATTAAAAATCTTCACTTGTAATTGTTTATATAATTATTTTTTAGCTTGTAAGTTTTATGAAATATTACCATAATGTTTTAAATGTTATAAAAAACAAAAAAAAAAAAAAAAAACTATTAATTATATGTTTATGCTAATGTCAAATAAGGATGCCTTGAAAATTGTCATGATTGGAGCCTGAGAACAAAAATGAGAATAATAAGCTAATAATTTTTTTTTTATTGTTCTCAACTAAATTTTAATTTCATCGATAAATTTTAAAAATCATACAATAATCTTTTAGTGTTCGAAAGTTATGTCCTTATAAAATATTTAACCTCCTCAAATTAAAAAGGATTCAAAATTTATATTTAAAGTATTACATAAATATAGAATTTTCTTGGTTTTTTTAAAATAAAACCAAATGAGCCATATCTATACTTATTATTTTTTCCAGTAAA